ATAAGCCCTATTCTCTTGTCCTCTGACCATGCATGTGGCTCTCCTCTGGACTCTCTCAAGCTTCTCCACACCCTTCTTGAATTGTGGAGCCCAGAATTGGATGCAGTACTCCAGCTGCAGCCTCGCCAGGGCCGAGTACAGCGGGGGGATAACATCCTGAGATTTACTTGAGAAGCATCTATGGATGCAAGCCAGAGTTTTGTTTGCTTTACCAGCTGTGACATGGCAATGGTGGCTCATGTTCATCTTGTGGTCAGTCACGACCCCCAAAGTCTCTTTCAGCCATGGTGCTAGCGAGCATAGCACTGCCGAGCCTATAAGTATGCTGTGGGTTCCCCCCTGCACAAGGTGGAGTACCCTACATTTATCGGTATTGAACGTCATCAGGTTTGTATCCACCCACTTAGTAAATTTATCCAAGTCAGCCTGGATTGCTAGCCTGACCTCAGGTGTGGACGCTATGCCCCAAAGTTTGGTGTCATCGGCAAACTTAGCCAGTGCGCTTCTGCCACCAACGGCCACATCGCTGATAAAAGATGTTGAAGAGAACCGGTGCAAAGACAGAGCCTTGGGGGACTCCACTGGTCACGAAGTGCCATAATGATTTGCTACCATCAACCCCTACTCTCTGGGTCTGACCTCAGAGCCAATTTCCCAGCCGTTGGACTGTGGTGCAGTCGAGGTCACAGTTGGCCAATTTATCCATGAGGAGGTCATGGCTTTTTTAAAGTCCAGATATCTGACATCAATCTCTTCTCCCTTGTCCAGGTGATATGTCACCTGGTCATGGACGGAGATGGGACTGGTCAGGCAAGACCTATCTGCAACAAACCTGTGCTGGCTATCCCTCAGGATGTTGCCCTCAGTCAGCTTATCCAGAAGGGTCTCCTTGATCATCTTCTCCATGAATCTTACCGGGGATTGAGGTCAAGCTGATTGGCCTGTAATTCCCGGGATCTACTTACCGCCCTTTCTTGACGATGGGTACCACATAGGCCTTCTTCCAATCTTCAGGTACTTCACCTGAGCGCCATGAGACCAAAAAGAACCTAAAAGACCCAAAGCCAGCAGCAGTGGTGTTGCCTTTTACAGCCCGCTCTGTAAACAGGTACCCTGAGCTCTGTGCAAAGCTCTCTGAAAAGGAGAAAGAGAGAGAAATGCATACAAGCTTAAGGACAGCAGAGTCAAAGGCAAAGTTACGTTGGTAAACACGGCATTCAAAGCCAATCTGGCATCAAATCAGAAAAAGAAGGGAAGAGACAAGATCAAGTCAAGCTGTGCCTTTTCCTCAGGACTTCAGGGAAACCTCCCACCCTTCCTGTCACCTGTGGAAAGGCATCAGAGCTACAGCAAAAGTGAAAGTTTCAGGAAATTCTGATCTTAAACACCACACAGCAGAGCCCAGCCAAGCAGAACTCAGGCAGCTAGAAAATGAGCAGGTATGTCCCTTCAAACATTACATTTCTCATCTACCAGCATAAAGCGAGAAGAACAGCACTCCAGAAAGCACCTTCACACCATCAATTTCAGAGAAACCCTAGGGTGCCCAAGTCTAGCATTGACACTTAATTTAACATATGCATGTCAAAAACTAATTGCACTCCTGTCTTGGAAACAGTTACCCCAACTTGCAAAGCACTCAGCACAGACATAATGACTGTATTAGCATTAGGAGCCAGGGCTCACATGCTTAAACCTACTCCCCTGGCATAGTTTGATAAATATGAGAATTCTAAGTACTAGCATAAGATTGAAACCTAGGTACTTGTTTCCCAAGCCTCACACATGCAACCCAAACAGAAGATGGAGGTTTGGGCTGATTCATGAAAATGGCACGTACTGAAAACTATGCTAAAGCTGAATATTAACCGAAGCAAGGCAGGAAAGATGAAGGAAGCCCAAAGTAGGCATAGAGACCAAAACAGAGGAAGGAAAGATTGGAAGCAATGATGGGAAGATCAGAGCACCCCAATGAGGCTAAGAGATGATGGACGATGACAAATGGTGAAATAAGGAGAAAGACCCAAGCCATGTAGGTGTGAAGGGGGACCATAAAAAAAAAAAAAAAAAAGGAAAAATTATCCAATCTCTTTTTAACTTCCCGCTTCCTCCAACTCTTACGATCAGACATGGTCATGTGTAAGGTAACTCGCATGAGAAGTATAAAAAGGGATAAGAACAGCAAAACAATTTGCTCCTGAGCATTGTGTCAAGGAGGAGTGGATGCTTTTATTACTTAAGTAGCAGGAACCACTCTGATGGGGAAACATTTGTTTTGTGGTTGACTTTTATTTAAAAGTGATAAACAGAAATCAAATTGTGACTTCCCAGATATGCCTGGATCTACAAAAAGAGGAAGATACCATCACTGAGTCTTGCTAAACTGGCTGGGTCTATTGTACTCCTTTCTTTGCTTAGAATAGAACCGATTCTTCGCCTTATCAGGCGGCCAGATACAATCATATATCAGGATGCAACTGAGACTGTCATATCTAAGGAAGCTTCTCCTAAAATGGTATTTCCATAATCCTGTTTAACAAGGTACACAAGGTTCAATATAAAGAGCTGGACAAATTAAGTTCTCTGCCTTTTTCCATTCTCGATGACACAGACAGCCGCACAGTCTACTACTGATGCCACTAATTAGATGATTAAATACCACTCTAGGTGATAAGCTTTCAGGGTAAAATTATTATTTTTAACAGGCAATATATTTGCTCAATCTCATTTTAAAATCACAAGAACTTTTTTCTTTTTTTTTTTTTTTTTTAAACTTGAATGAAATTACCTCTCCTGATTCTTACTGGGTAGAGCAACCATTGGAAGAAACAGCACTGAAGATACGGTGCCCAAGTACCACAATACAGCAGTGCTTTCCCAAGGAACTCAAGCAATCCCTAGACAGAATCTAATTTCTCAGAGATGTATGTGCATTTTCTCCTTTAAAGGAATGAGATGAGGAGTTACACTGTCCACTGAAAGCTCATACTGTAAGAAGCCAAGTGCATTTGCTATGAACCCAGGTAGGCCATTCTCCTCTTCTGGGAAAAAACACCTCCGAGATGAACAAGACCAAGAGTCCCATCGCTTCAACACAGAAATAAGGATACCATCAACTCCATGATAAAGTTGCAAGGACAGTACAGTTTTTCTGTCCAGCATGTTAAAAACCAACTTGGTACCCTGTTCTACCATAAGACCTGGGCATCTGCTGAGGAGTGGAAATAGGTTACAAAGGAAATATTTTATTAATCTATTGGGTAATTACTTTTTAACTAAATTGTGGTAGTGCTGGAATGATGTAGCCATGATAATCCATAAAATAGGTGAGAAGCAAAGATTTTTGGGAGCAGTATCTTTTACTGGACCAACTGCATGGTTGGGGTAGACCTGAAGAAGAATGCAGTACATATGAAAACTTGTCCAAGTTGATCCCAAACAGGTAGTTGGTCTAATAAAAGATTATCGCCCACAAAAAGCCTTGTCTCTGGCATCCTTTCTAAATGCTTGCTCAAGTCTAAAACGCTCTAAAAAGCCTCGGGAAGGTTGTATTTATTGATATCAGAAGACTGCCAGCTGTCGTCTTCTTCAGAATATCCAGAATTTCCCAGATCGGCCTACACCCACAGCTGTATCGTGACGGACTGACAACAAAACCAGAAACGTATGGAGGGCAGGAAAAGCCCTGGTTGGCAGTTTGTAGTTCTGGTGAACCCAAGGGAGCAGAGGTTTCCTTTCCTAGTTGCAGTGCAAAAGCTTTGCCAGCCACTCAAAATGCAATGCCTTCCCTGACATGTCAAGAAAAGCGAGAGAAGCTCTTTCTTCGTCCCACTTAGTGGACTCTCCATGGCATTAAATACTGTGGCCAGAAAGATTTTAAATAATACCCTCTTGCAAAACAGCTGCTTCACACTCCAGCAAGCCTTGCTTAGTGTACCATACATCACAGCCTCTTTGGCTCAGCAGTGACACAGAATTACAGAACTGGGCAGAAAACAATTAAAGCAAAATCAAGAGGCTGTAGTTAACACTCAGAATTAAAGCCTGAAACAGCAGCAGCATGCTTCTTCTCCCTTTCTCCCATTCCTCCCAGGTCATAACTTTCAACCTTCGGTCTAAACAGGACATTTGTTGATCAAAACTCACTCGTGACTTCTTGCTGGGTTCGGCCTCCTTCAGCTGAGATAACAGCATCTTATTACCCACCTGTCTTTTCCCAACTTTCTTGTTTCCCCCAGCAATCACAAACCTTCAAACAAGCACATACGTAAGCTTACTCATGTGAGAAAACCTACTGGCTTCAAGGGAATTGCTCAGATGAGTGATGTTAGGCCTGGGTGGTTTGGGGAGGTTTGGGTGCACACCTCTGTGGCAACAGAGAAGTAATAAATAATAATCTTCCCTTACAGAAGAGTGTTACAGAATTTAATATAAAATTATCAATATTCTATAGGCTTTTTGACTCATCCTACCAAATTTAATCAAAATTACATGCTGCTAAAGATTTTTGTAGGCGGGTTCAAAGGAAGCACCATACTAAAACTAACTTTTTAAAACTCAACTGCTTTAACTCCTTCTACTGTATTCTAAAGGACTTGGTTCAACATAAGAGGAAAGTGCCTTCCTTGTCCTCCATGCGGTGCAGCCATTTTATTCTATTTGGCAAAAGGGGAGTGGCAGCCATCAGAATTATGATAAACTCCGTTCAGTGGCTCAGGTGACATAAGTACGCCAACGATAACGCGACTTGCAGATGCCAAGAATGAGATTAAGTGACGTATCACTTACGTATCAACAACTTGCAGCATGCCAGTAATGAAGCCAGTACAGTTATTACCGAAGACAAAACTCATGGCATTGTTCTAGTACCTAAGACCTGGAGCACACATGGCAGTACTTTAGTATCAATTAGAGAACAGATCAACCAAGAACCAAAGGGCATCCAGGAAGAGCATGTAGGTCAAAAAGAAGGGCATATAACCTAGGTCTAGAACCTGTACCTTGGTGAGGAGCAGCACTCGTTTCTGCAAGCGTCTGACCAGAGCTTCGTGCTGCTCACGTTTCTTCTTCTCGTCCAGTAACTGGTTCTGGATTCGTAATACCTCCTCTTGTAGCTGCTGTCGAGCCTTCTCTAATATCCTGGCACTAAGAAAGAGAGAGAAAGAATGAACTCGTGAGGTTTAACACCGCCTCAGCAAAACCAGGAGGATGGGGCAACAGCAATGGGACCTAGGGTGTCATCTTACCTATGCCCATATGCAGCTGTAAACTGCATTGCCATTATCAGCATTACTTGGAAGGACATTATTAAAAAAAGAGAAGATGCTCAATGACCAATCGTGGAGCTTAGCACCACCTCTATTTATACTATGCACATACAAGATATAAAAACAGCAATCTTTTACAATCAGCAAATCTCCTCTCAAGTGCATATTAAACTAAACTTGTTAAATACATGCATAAGTTCCAGCAACAACACAAGTCTCGGGGTTTCACTCTACCCTTTTCCTTTGTAACCAGTTGGAGTCACAGTTGCCACTGCGCATGGTTTGCATCTAAAGACAGCTATTTGGTTAGTATCTTTGATAACTACCCATGTGTTGCTCTTGACAACAACCTAGGGTGAGCACAGAGCTATCTTCCTGTGGCTGGGTAACAACACACAGGATGCAACATGGACAAGACTATGGCCAGCTCCCAGCAGCCAATTCTCCCACCTCCTCCCAGCTTTCAGTGAAGAAACCCTTGAGTACAATACTCTACATATTCTTTGAGTCATTCTGGGTGCATGCCCCACGGGTACTCTTGCCACCTGCTGGGACACTCAGGATAGCTGAACCACTCTATCCAGGAAGCACCGGTACACAGTTATGCAGTACAGCAGACGCAGGCAACAAACACGACTGATTCGTGGAAAAAACTGTAGCCCCGGAGCACCTATCCATAGTGTCTCCAGGAGGTGAGGCAGATGACAGTATCACACACAGGGGACAAAACCACTTGTACCTACCACGTTAATAGGCCCTGAAAGGGGACTGGGAGTGCACCAACAAGTCTTCAAGCAGACTTCAACGCATCAAAACCAATGGCGCTGTCAGGCAGACGCATCAAAGCTCTGCCTCTCCAGCAGAGAGAAAAACAGAACAACCTAAGAAAATCTGCCAGAGCCTCAAAGGGGTGTTTATATCATCATAAATCAAAAGAAAATAGAGTAAATAAAACACCCTTAAATGAAATAGTGCCATTATTCACATGCTGCTTAGATGCATCAGGAAAATGGCACTTTTCTTTAAAGATGCTCTTAGTCTAAATTAAGTACATCCTGCACTGCTGGTTCACCAATTTGTGCTACTTGGAAAATTTATGTAGGAATTGACCAGAACTCTCCAAGCAGCAGTTTCCATACCTGCACTCCTTCCCTCTGAAGACGACTATGCATTTTAAGGCATTAGATGAATTAAAAGACTATTTAAAGTTCCAGTTCAATTTGGAACCATTCACAGACCAATTTAATAATCAAGGACTGTGAAATAGACTCTTCATTGTTGTATTCAGGTGGGAAAGTTCATCAAAAGGGCTTTAAATCTGCATTTAAAAATGGATAATTTAATTACCAGAGCACCACTATTTCCCTGATTCTGTTTTAATTAATTAGTTACACAAAAAGAAGCTTGTGCCCAGCAGCGGTATCTATGGTGATGGAATGTGAAGTAGCGTCTGCCTCTCACTGATGGAGCAATTCTTTCTCCATCCGAACCTCAGGCCTTGTCTAGTCCATTAAATTTTGTTCCAGCTGTGCACAGCCAAAGCCCCTCGGTGGCACAGGAGCCGCCTTTTCTGCTGGCAGAGTTCAAACCACCTCTGCAGAGTGAAGTAGAGCTCCACCACCGTCCAGCACAAGGTGCCAATACACAGGCCAGCATCTTTTGCTGGCCACCATGCTCCTTCCAGCCTTCCCCAGATGCCCCTTCCCTTGCGGCAGTGCAACTCCTGAGTCGAGTCACACAGAGCCACCAGAAACATGAGGACGTGCATGTGCTCTGCCAGCCTGGAGGTGATGACTGCTGCCTGCCATGAGAAGTTCTGGCAGCAGCCACAGGTAAGTGGAGATAAAACCTCAGGCTAAACATCCCAAATTAAGTTGCCAAAGCTCTTAATAGAACAGCGTTTGCCCAAGTCAGCAACACCAGAATTCCCCAGTCGTAGCAGACAGAATCTAGCTTTCACCGTGCTCATTTTTCAGATAAATCCACCATTATAGGACAGCGCTCTGCAAGCATTTAGAGAGAAACTATATCAAAAAGGTGTTTCCATAGCAGCCAACATCCAGAAAACTCAGCAAACAGACACCAGTCATTCCACAGTGAAAAAGGGACAAGGATCCTGCGAGAAAAGCTGAGAACAACCCAGGAACATGTCACAAGGAAACAGTGGGAAACCCAGGAAGAACAAACTACCTGTGACGTACAGCGTTAATCAGGTCCTTTGAAAATTGTGCAGACACACACTTTACCAACTACCAGTCTCAAAAGTGCTAATGCTTCAAATGTTATTTCAGGACCATAGCAAAATTCAAAGAAGAAAAATCAAAGGATTGCTCAAGTTAATTAGTTACAGCCCAAATTAAATATCAATGCAAACCTTCACCAAATACCGTACAATAAATGATGTTATGATATAAAAATCCTCTCTCTCTTTGCTATTGGTGAGTTTAATTAATAAACAGCTCTTCCAGACCTGAGTTCTATATTCTATCAAAGAGCTTCAGCCCTGAGTCAAGTCGGACTAGAGGAAAACTATAGGATCAAACATTCAAAGAACCAGAGTCTCACATCTGACTGCTGCAGAAAATTTTGGTAGCATATTTTTTTTTAATCCCTCTAAGTGTGAACTATTTTTATAAGTCCTGAGTGGGTTGGCTGATCAGATTTGACCTGATATTCAGAGTGAAAAAAAGGAAACTTGGTAGAATCTAGTCAAGAGTCATGAAATGTCTTTGTGATGCATCTACCTTAGAGACGGCACACCTTTTTTCTAAACTGCAGAATTGGACACAACTAAGAGGAAAGCAAAAGGACAAGTGTGCAGGTTATCTATATCTTCTCGCATTCAATAATGCTTACATTTTCCAACCTCAGATGAAACGCAGGGATCAGTTGTTGCTGCCAAAATGTAAGCATCATCAGAACGATTGTTCAACGGGCAGTAAGTAACCATGTTCCACTTCTGAAGATTAAGCTTTAAGCTACAATGGGCTACTGACCAGTAGGAAATCTTCCATTCAAGCTTCTAACAATTTTTCCAACACGCCACATTTTTGGACTTGCCAAAACAAAGGTGATTGTAGTCCTTTCTTCGTCCTTAAGAGCAGACAGGTAACTTTTCCAGGTATTACGGTATGAACTAGCTGGCCAATATTAAAGTTACTTTCCCTAGTGACAAAAAGCAGGATTCAAAATCAGGTTCAAACCAGCAACTTGTACTATGTTATTATCCCAGACATTATTTTCTATGCCAATGACAACACTGGCTTTTTAATGCCAATCACTCACCTCAAACCAAACAGTTTTTAAAAACTCATAAAAAATTAAACCCCAAAGGTCCATGGTTCAGCTGAACCCCGAGCACCTTGGCATTTTCAAAAATCTCTGCAAGTTCAAAGCAAGCTTTCATGGTTTCAAAGTGAAAAAGTCGCTTCTGTTTATCAGAATTAATGAGCCTCGTCCCTCAGCCCACTGAACGAAGTGCCGGTCTCTCATGTCCCAAGCTGGTGAGAAGCTCTCTTCATACTCTGCTCTTCCATTCTGCAATCCACTTTCATGTAATCTTAAATTATATTTCATTTGCCAGAATATTCTTTGAAAGGCTGAGAACAATGAAGACGGACAAAGAATACAGAAGCTATAAGATAAATTTTAATAATCTCAACACATGACAAAAGCAGCTGTCAGCTCTCTTCCAGTGATGGATAAAACTAACACCCCTTGCCTCCAGCCTATCTTTTCTGTAACCTCTTCCGCCCCGCGCGCTGCAAAATCTACCAGAGAGGGCAAACAGAAAGCTAGAAATATAATTCTGTACAACAGACTCTGGAAAAGATCAGAGGGCTAGCCATAGTGCGCCAACAGTGAAAATAGGGACTGCAGGGGTCACGCAGCAATTTCAAAGAAGATGGCAAGGGGGCATGATGCCAGGGCCGTATGCATCAAAAGCCACTGTACCAACAAACAAGATAATATGGATATGATGAGAACTGTGCAAACATACAGGGAACGATGTAAGAGATATTTCACAAAGAAAACCTAAAGGAGCCAGCAATGCAATTTGTACACAACTGCTACACAGACTAAGGCCACGTTCTGCAAATTAACAAGGGAAGACAGCCAGATGTGCGACAGCAATTAATATGTTGGAGGAAAGCAATTCCCCCCAACTGCATCCAGACTACATACAGCCTTGCCAAAGTATTTGCCCATCTATAAATGGCAGGAAAAATCCCATAAACACCAGAGAGACCCAAACAAAAGGGAAACTGATAAATAGAGGGCTTGAGTAAACTGAAGCATCTGCTTTCCTGGCTCTTCCTTCCAGTTTTGCTAACCAATATTAAAGCACCACCAGTGGTTCATGTCACAGGGTCTACTTCATAATAAAAGAATATTCTTCCCTGGAGCCCAGCCGCAAAGCCCCAACCCATTCAGTCCTGTCTAATGAGAGGATGATAAATAGCTCAGTCTTTGATTTGAGAGAGCAGTGACCCCCTCTTCTGCAAGTGTCACTGCATCTGGTTAAATCATCGTGGCAGGAATATGCAACATCTGGAACAGGAAGATGGCATGAGAGGAACAAGCATGATCAAACAGGTACCAGGCAAAAATATAAGGGAAAAGAACAAGACAAACAGGAAGGAGGATGAAAGGAGAGAGGTAATGAGGAAGAAAACAGAAGCAGTCAAGATCAGGAAAACAGAAAAATCTTTCCTATGAGGAAGCAAATTGTGGTCAGACACTGAGTACTACTTAAAAAATAAATAGATAGGTCAGGGCCAGGATACTGCAGGAGCAACCAAGCTGCCTGAATCAACATACCCAGGGCAGACAGACTGCAGCACAAAAGGTGAAGAAGAACGTATTGATATTAAAAGC